AGAATAAATATACTAAAGCTATTATATCTAATTTTGGATTTAACTAATTAATTAGATAATTTAATTATATATATATTTAATGAATATTCAATGAATTATTTGGTAAATAAATTAAATATTCGAATCTTCAATTTGGTGAAAAAAATCTTATTCAAATATTTAAATATTCAGTGAATATTTGAATATACTATTTATCAGATCAAACCTCTAGTTGTCACAATATACTGATTTAGCTAATTTTGATTATGTATAAAATTTTCAAATAGTGCAAAGAAGTTGGACAATATTTCTTGTTCTTCTAATATTTTTCTAACAAAAAAAAAAATTTTTTTTTAAGGTGTTTCTTTTCTGCTACTATCAATTGTAATGCAATGTCAAGATTGTTTAGCAAAGATAAGTATCCCTTTTATTATTTGTTTTATTTTATATTTATATATCACTTTTATTAATCTTTTTATGATTATATTTCTAATATATATATCTAATTTATCTAACCTGTCCTCATGCTCAATCCTTTCATTACTAACTAACTATCTAATATTTACGCAATTGTCAAGACTTTTTGGGTTATAGTTCATGATCATTATAATCATAACGATCATTACACATTATGATCATTATGATCATTACACGAATCACATTTGTTATAATCATTATGATTATTACATGAATTACATTCATTATGATTGTCATAATCATTATACAAATCATACTCAAGATAATTTATTTTACTACACTATATCAAAAAATTTTTTAAATTGATAAATTATGATTACTAACAATTATTTAATTTTTATTAATTAAATTTAATTGATAAAAACTGCTAGTAGTAATTATAATTATCAGATATATTTATTGATTTTAATTTTTTTTTTTATTTAGGCTATCTTGCCAGTAGTTCTTTATTAAGATTATTATATTTTGGAAGTAATATAATATTAAGCTTAATATTTAGACCTGATATTCTGCAGTTATTTCAAGATATTAACTATATAAGAGCATTTTTAAGTGATAAGTTACACTGAGATGACCTTCTCTTAAGAGATATCTATGATATAAAGTCATTATAACTTGAAAAGCCTTGATATACCACCACTCTACAATAAGATACTGCCAATTTGATGACATTTTCTTGTAAAGAAGTAAAAAAAACAAAAAAAAATACTCTAATACTAATACTAACCCTAAAAAGAGAAAAAAAAAAAAATTAAAAACTAATACTAAAAAACAGATATAAAGACAAAGAGTGAAAAAAAAAAAACTGATAGTCATGATTATCAGCTTGTATTAGACTTTAAAAAATATATATTACTAAATAAAGAAGCTCTATATTATTCTCTATTCTAATAAACTATGCATAAGGATAAAAAAAGTTAAAAAAAAGTTAGTTAAAACTAGATACCATAATCGACTTAGATAGAGTTAGCCTAAAATCTGAATAGAAGTTTCAAAGTATAGTTTAATAGTTTTTCTGGTTCAAGACACATAACTTATTGTGTTATTATACAATCTGTACTCGGTTGCTTAATCTGAATATCTACTCATAATCTCATTTTAGAAGTCTTATTTACATACATAAACAGGTAAACAATACTGACTATTTTAATTACATATCGATTTTTTGAAGAAGATAAGCTAAAACACCCACTTTTTGACAAAAATTTTTTCAAAAAAAAAGTGGTAGGCCAATGAAGCTTTTTTGTAGTTATTTCTTGTAAGTTTTACAGTTGTATAGATATATCTAAAGTTTGTAATACTCTTAGTTATACATGCTACCAAAATAGGTTTTTAAAAAAACCTTATTTCGTCTTTATTAAAACAATTTAAAATTTTTTATATGCAAGAGCAAATCTAATTTAGGTAGTTATGTTCTTTATAATTTTGTCACTTTAAAAAAAATATTAAAAAATTTTGTCTTTTAAATAAAATAGATTAAAAACAATTTTGTCTTTAAATTTTAATTTTTTACCCCAAAATCTAAAATAATTTTGTTAGTATATATACTTCTGGTATTGATCTAGTTGCTCTATATTTCTAAAATACTCTTTTGGTTTAGATGCCAAATATAATTGAGGAGTCTGCCAGAAAAAAAGCTTAACCTCTACAAAAACTAGTCTAAAATAAACTGCTTCTCAGTTTTATACTCTTAGTATTTTGTCAATAACACATCTACTTTTGTAGAACCAAATTTATTATTTACTTTAACGTCTTCTATAGTACTGACTGTAGTTCAGTTTCTTGATTTTTGTTGACCGGATGATTGTTAAGAAAAGTATATTATTTATTGATTTTAATTAATACTATTTCTAATTGTTAATTTACTAATAAACAATTATTATTGATTAATTATTTATTAATAATTATCAATAACTATTGTTTGTTATTAATAACTAGGAAATCAGAATCTGATAGAGGTCTGAAGTGAAAAATCTAACATTACATAGTATTGCATGCTAATTGTATTAAGTAATTATGACGAATTCGAATTGTAACCTTTGCAATATTGACATAAGTTGTAGCTACAGTAGTATAATATTATGTTATCAAATAGAGATCCCTAATTTCCCTCACACACTTCTACTTAGACAGTTGTAAATACTATCTCTGATTGACCATTATAGGTTAGTGTTGGCCGATGACATAGGTCATAACATTTTTTTGATATGACTTTAGTCATATAATCATATGACTTTTTGGTCATAAGTCATATTGGTTATATCAAATATTAGTAAAAATTTTTTTTATTATGAATCTTACTATATTAAAAGGTCATAAAATCATATCAATCTTCATTATGACCAAATGATCTATGACAGGTCATAAAGATCATATAGGTCATTTAAGGTTATAAGCCAATACTGTTATAGGCTATACCACCTTTCGTCTACCAATAAAATTATAAAATTAAGTGTAACATAAAATTTTCGAAAAAAATTAAAGTTTTGAAGTTTTTTAAAAAACATTAGTAACTTAAAATTTTACTTGCAAAATAACCTTTTGTGTTTTAATAAAAACCATTTCTTGTAAAATTTTAGTAAAGTATGTTCTATTAGACCTGTATAACATTTTAACATTATGTCGAAAAGCAGGATTTTGTTTCGTCCAATAGGTACTACAGGGGAAATTTAGTAAGCCTATCATTGGGACTATAACTCTAATTTATTAATTCTTGGTAAAATAATCAGATTGATTTGAAGCACTTAATTAAATTTAAATGATGCTTTACTACAACCTTCAAAATTTAACTTTTATTTCGTTAAATTATTTATATAATTTTTAATTTTTCAGCACATATACAAAGCTATCTGTATTTTTTTTTTCATAAATATAAGCAGTACAACTTTACATTTAATATGGATCACGCAAAACAATACTACAATAGATTGTGATAGCAGTACTACAGAAATTGAGTTAGCAAAGTAAAAAATGTTTATACCACTATTACAATATTTATTTAGTACTTACTAAAAAAATATTTTAAATACTAAAATTGTGTATAATTCAAATTTTACTTTACTAATTAATAAATGCATCTAAATAACATGTATACTGATACATTAGAGTTTAGCAGCATCCTTTTAGACTTTATTAACTTTTCCAAAGTTTATATTAGATAAGATTACTCGCAAAAAATTGTAAAAGAAACTGTTTGCAAGTAACAAAAAACTAATCATATTGCAAATTATGCTTCAATAATAACTGCAAATCTATCACTTTTAGAAAAAACAATGTAATGAGTGATCAGTAGTAGCAATATAACACAATCAGATAAAATTCTATTAAGCATTGATTTTTTATATTAGTTCAGAGCAGACTTAATAAAAAAAAAAACAAAATCCTTTTTCAAACTTTATTATCATATTAAAGGTTAAGTTATCATTAAGATTAATTGAATTTCTTCATTTTTCCTTTCCTACAATCTCTTACTTTGCTTAATTTTTTGAAGCCTTTGAAGTAAAAATGGATCAAAGAGAATATCTTTTAGTGTACAGACTCGAGACACTGCAACAAATAAAATACCAGCAGAATATTCATTTTTTCTAAGATTGATTTTAGCACTCGTCAGTGTTAGCCCTTAGCTTTTATGTACTGTAACGGCTGAGGAAAATCTGTAAACA